TCACGACTGATATTGTAAACTACTTATTGACAATTATTTGATGGAACATCACTTCAGAAATGACCAGACTACCCCATAAAAACTTAGCAACAGTTATATATGCAATGTTTTCATTAGACCTATAAAATTAAACAGAGGCGCATTAGCTAATGTAGTCTTTACATTGGTCAGTCATTTTTGAAAAAGAGTTGTTTTTAGAGCTTGAAAAACAATGTAAAAAACCCCTCATTTGGCTAGCCATTAGCCTAGCCTCTGCAATGACCCATCCATCCATCCATCCATTATCTTCCGCTTGCTTCGAAGTCAGGTCGCGGGGGCAGCAGCTTGAGCATGGAGGCCCAGTTTTACAGCCACCTCTTCTGGGAGGATTTCCAAAGTGTTGCCAGGCCAACCGCAATACATCATTTCTCCAGCGCGACCTGGGTCTTCCTCAGGGTCTCCTCCCACATGCCTGAAGTACCTCACCCAGGGAGCATCCTTACCAGATGCCCTAACCACCTCAACTGGCTCCTCTCGATGTGGAGGAGCAGTGGTTCTAGTCCCAGTCTCTCCCGGATAACTGAACTTCTCATCCTTTCTCTAAGGAAGAGTTCAGCTACCCTGCGGAAGAAACTCATTTCAACTGCCTGTATCTGCAATCTCATTCTTTTGGTCATTACCCAAAGCTCGTGACCATAGGTGAGGGTAGGAATGTAGACCAACCGGTAAACAGAGAGCCTTACAGCTCATCTCCCTCTTCACCACAACAGACTAGTACAGAGTCCACAATACTGCAGATGCTGCAATGTCAATCTCACGCTCCATTCTTCCCTCACTCGTGAACAAAACCCTGAGATATTTGAACTCCTCTACTTGAGGCAAAACCTCACCCTCGACCCAAAAAGAGCAATCCACCCTTTTCCGACTGAGGCCCATGGCCTCAGATTTTGAGGACTGCAAGTACTTTTGGCTTATATTACCAAAGTCAAAGGCAAAGTTTCTTTATTTGTCATATATGTGGTGGAACAAAATTGTGTACACAGGGTCACAGTTACATCCAACAAAAGTATAAATTGTAAAGAAAAACAGAATAAGATCTAAGATATGAACTAAGAAAACCGTTAAACTAAAAATATACTAAGCACTAGTAGTACAAAAACAATATGCATACACAATACACATTATACGTGCTCTATGACCTGTGTCTTATGAAAAATAGTTGCAAGAGTAAGAATATTAGGGTAAGAATGGGGTACAAATGTAGGTAATACTATCAAAGAATGTCCCAGTTATTTTTCTGGCAACAAACAGTCCTTCAGTGGGTTTGCAGCCAAAATTCTATCATCAAGGAATTTACTCATTTTTGCCACTTCAGCTAGATGACCAGCACCTTTATCAGACTGTTGCGCCAAAGAACATGTACAAGTGAAATACACATTCATCCTATTTGGTCTCCATAGCAACAGCCTCTAGGTCTCTGCACCATACTGTGCATCCATGAGCCTGATTTAAACGCCACAGCATTATCTTTGAGACCCCCTGCACATAGTTTTGCCGGAAACAAATCAGATTATTTCTGTCAGTCTGTCCTCTTATCCAGCTGCTACATATAACAGGATTGCTGGACAGATTGGCAGGCGGCCATCAGGGAAGTAAATGTCACACTGACAGGAAAGCCAAGCAAATGTCAGAATCCATTTTGCTGCATTTGCAGAGCTGATCAGTGTAAGGACATTGTTCAGCTGCTCTATAACAGACACAGTTGTCTATTTGATTAAAAAAAAAAGTGATTTAACTAAAATAAGGCCTTAGAATGAAGTATAATTTCTGCAACATTTTGTATTGTACAAGGTGTTCAGTAAATTTGAATGAAACAAAGAATTCACTCGATTATAAAGAACTGACCAACAAATGTAATAAAGAGCACTTGTTCAACAAACAAAAACAACCAATATACAGTTAGATGTGCAAACATGAGATAATATTGTCAAAAATGTTTAAAAGACACTATCACTATTTGATTTCTAGATCACCTCATTGTTAGACAACAGAGGTTTTCCGGTGTGTAGCAGAACTTTTCTAAGAAGGAAGAAAAACACCTACAGATGCTCTTTACACACCCATTTGTGTACACTTCCTGCCATTTCATGTGCTGTTTTGTGTTTTAATGGAATCAATTTTAGCACCCTTTTCTTTCTGGCAGATGGTCAGCGGTGGAGAAAGTACTCGAACACTGTACTTAAGTAAAAGTACAACTAAACAGACAAAAATGTACTCTAGTAAAAGTAGAAGTACCACATTAATGTTTTTACTTAAGTAAAAGTAAGTACTTGCTTTAAAAAATACTCAGGCATTAAAAGTACTTGCTGAACGCATTACCTAATGCAATGGTCTACAATATATTTAAGTGTGCCTATAAAGTATGTATATTTTCTGTATTACATTAATAGTGTTGAGTCATTTTAATAAACAATGCTGCAGATACTGCATGTTTTTATTGTGTGGCACCGTTCACACTTGGACTTGTGATTCTGTGTATCAGAATTTCAGGGATGACATGGAGAGTTAAATGCCATTAAGCAAAATAAGAAAAGGGAATGATTATACCTTTGAAAGTTTTTATTTAATACTAAGCAAAACCAATGTGTCATTTTAACTGCAGTAAACACATTTAAGTAAAAGTTGTCTGCCTGAAAAAAAGGAGCATTAGACCTAACAAAGGAATAGACTCTGATCATTTCATCTCCAGTTTGTCATCAACTCTAGTTAAAATACGGTCTAGTCGACCTTGTAATGGGTCAATAGTGAACAATATTTTAACTTCCTGTCACCATTTTCAAAAGTTGGACCCGACTGTCGAGCCATTTGGAGACATTTCTTATCTCCTGTCCTAATACCCCATGAACTGACACATTTTAATATTGAAGCAAGAATTTCTTGTTCAAGTACAGAAGAAGTTGATTTTCAAAGTTTTTTGAGTCCAGTCTGGCTCTTTTGGGAGAGAGAGTCTGTCCTGCTGTACTGAACAGTTTTTAAATAGTCTTTCAATAAGGCCATGGGTGGTGTGCATCTTCTGGCTGACTCTCTGCAATGGAATTCATTTTGGGTGCATTAGTGGTGCTGTGGGTGCATCCAGCTCAATGACGTATATACTAGAATATACGTCATTGGCCCAGCTCTTCTTGAAGGTGGGTCCAACGTTACCTGCCCACCTTGCAGTGATTCAATGGACCAACTCCCCTCTCGTCATTGATTACTTTCAAACTAACAAACAAATAAAACAACTGCAACGCGAATGTATTGTTTAACGCAACACATTATAGAAATGTAATGTAGTTGAAAGTACAGATCCTTGATGTAAAATGTAGTGGAGTAAAAGTTGAAATTACCCACATTTAACTCTACTTAAGTAAAGTATACAAAAATGTACTCAAGTACAGTAACGAAGCACTTGTTACATCCCAGCACTGCAAATGGCACACCAGAATGACTATTCATAAAATACAGCTATAGGGTTGGAGCAACCTCACAGAGTAATCACACTCAAGAAGGTAGATTAGTCTGACTCCACCAGGGCTGCTCATTGTCACAGATTCTGTTTACAACTTTTATGAACAGAAATTCTTGGTGCAGCCATGGGTCCAAAGAGGTCTGGGTCAGTGCTTAGCATTTTGTCTCTGCCATCTGCAAATTATGTAGTCTGAATGGCCTCATCATGTGGTAATCTCCAGCTCTCCCTGGAGCAGATGACAGCCGAGTGTAAAAAAGTTGGAATGAGGATCAGCACCTCCAAATCCAAGACCATGGTCTGCAGCCGGAAAAAGGTGGACTGCTCTCTCTGGGTTGGGAGTGAGGTACTGCCTCGAGTGGAAGAGTTCAAGTATCACTGTGTTTTGTTCACAAGTGAGCAAAGACTGAGACGTGAGATTGACTGACAAATTGTTGCGGCTTCTGTGTCAGAGGGAGCTGAACTACAAGACAGAGCTCTTTGCTTATCAGTCTAAATAAGTTCCTACCCGAGTTAAGGTCACAAACTCTGGGGAAGGTTTGAAATAACAAAATCAAAGGTAAATACAGTCCAAGAGTTTTCTCCACAGGATAGCTGGATTGTCCCTTAAATAGTGTGAGAAGTTCAGTTATCCGAGAAAGACTTGTAGAGCCGCTGCTCCTTCACATCGGCAGAAAACGGAAGTTGTTTCAGCATCTGTTACTATCCTCACTATTAGCATCCTCATGGACGCCTCCCTAGAGAGGTGTTCTGGGAATATCCAACTTACCCAAGACCCAGGAAAGACTCGGGTATGCAAAAACAGAGACTATATCTCTTGACTGACCAAGGAACACATTAGATCACTATTGGGAGAGCAGGAAAACATGGCTGTGCAGAGATATCTGGCCATCCCTGCTGGATGGATGGGTAGAATGAGGATAGGAAGAGATGATCAAATGTGCAGTTACACATCACAGTAATATCTAAAAAAGTTAAATCTGGTCCTCTGGACATTCAAAAAAACAAAACCCCAACTACCTTCATTTTTACAGGATAAGCAGTTTTTCCAGTTAACTTTGTGTGGATAACACACCAGTGTACATACTGTAGAACATGGCCAATGCCTGTCATTTGTTAACATCATCCCCTTTCCAACTCCCCCTTATTTACCCATGCCTGTGTCAATGTCTGCCTCAAAGCTGAATCTCATTCAGATTCCACAGCAACCACAGAACAAAATGTCCTACTTCTAAAGTCCCTGAAAAGTGGATGAGTATGTCAAGAGTGCATACATACATATACATAAAGGTACATATAAAATAGTATAGAACCCAAAGTCTTGTTCAACACTTGTGGCTCACTCTGTGATCTCCAAAAAAGACATCTTTGTTTTCTTGTGCACATCAACATGTCAGAACAATTCTGATGCACATATTACCGTAACCAACAGACGTTTTGCAAATACTTACAGCAGCGATAAACATCTGCCAACAGAGCCTGGAATGTCCACTCAACCAAACAAATCATTCTAATTGGCCTTTATAAAATAATTGTGTGATGTGTTTCAGATCCCAGTGAAATAGAAATAGGCAAAAGTACCTCTGATTTCCTTGTTAAGTGTGCTACTTTGTGAAAACTGAGAAACATGTTTTCATAAAAACACACAAAGATCTGAAGGTTGAAGAGTGTGTTTTATTGGCATCTGACCCCAAAATATACAATTATTTTGTTTACATGTGGGCGTTTAAATACACTGACAGATGACAACTTAAATAGAGAAAATATTAACATGAACTTATCAATATTTATATATATTTCTAATTTAAAATTAACATAAATTGAATTTAAGGGATTTGACCATAGTGGAACCGGTTTTGCCACTAATTTTCATAAATAAATATCAGATTAATGGATAATGGAAGCATGGAACTGATATGATGTGACAAAAAACAGACTGAGTACTTGTATGCAATGCTATTGTCATAGATAAACTGCCAATTTTATAGTATTTTGTTTAGATGTTTAGAAATAATGACAGCATCTAATATTTTGCAACAATTTACTTCAGTTCCATTAAAACATGGTGAGAATCAGTCACAGTTTACCTCAAGTACAAATCCTGTAACCCTTAATCAAGGCATAAATGGGTACCTGCTGTTTAAGAGGTATTTCCTTGTGAAAACATGTTACGCTTTGTCATTTAGGTGTTTTTTTAATTTTTATCTAACTTTATCTTTCTACTTTCCTTCATGAAGCTATCTTTCATATTTAGGCAAGGGCCATGCGTTGCGGTTGTTCTAGGTTGGCACGAAATTTATCAAGAAAGCGAGAGGCTAATTCATCATCCACCAGCCGCCCATCACTGGACAAAGTAACAGTCATCAGCTGCTGAGTGCGCAGGGTCTGGTCATCTTCATTCAGTTGCAGCTCAGTCCTAGAAGTCCCAACAGCAAGGATGCATGCCTGAGGAGGGTTGATCACAGCACTGAAGCCACTGATTCCAAACATCCCTAGGTTAGATATACTGTCATCAGGGGAGATGCAGGAGAGAGGAAGCAATGGGATGGAAGGAGAAAGTGCACATATTACATTAGTCAAGAAAAATGCAGAAAAATGAACTGACATAACAGTCATTTTAATATCAGTATCACCTCTTGTAATGAAAGTTTGAAATTTTCTTTTTACAAAAAAGTATGGGCAGTCATACGGCACCACCAACCCTCGAGACTTCCACCATATGGTTTACATGTTAGGTAAGTTTGACTAGAGGGCACTGTGCTGTTTGCTTTAATGAGAGGTTTTGCCAGACGAAATAAATACAATTATCAGAAGAATAGCGCACACATTTATCTTCAGTGGGACAAAGAGCTGTATTTCTATAGAAATGTATCCTTTCAGCCTGACACAAAAACCTAATTGTGTAAATGACACCATTAATTTTAATGAGTTAAAAATAGCCTCGTTTCCACTTTTCTGCAATGATTGGTTTAATAACTGAACTGTAGCTGTGTTGCCCAAAATCACATTCTGTTCAATTTCACATAAAATATTAAATAAGCATAATGAATCATCTCTTCTTGAAACTAAAATGAATCGCAATGGCACTGTTTATGCGGACTGTCAGTTTTATGATGCCAATGTTACTGGGTTGCTACGGAAAATTTAAGAGATTTTGAGCTAAAATATTTTCTGTTACTTTTAGTTGAGAAGAGAAAATACACATTTTACTGAGTATTATTAAGGGAAGCCAATAAGAAGAAAGAAAAAAAGAAAACCGTTTTATAATGTAATTTCTGTCTACATGTGCTTTCTGGAGAAACTCACCCCTAACACTTCTTACCTGAATGAGCCTCCCTGGTACTCTTCAGGTAGAAGTTTCCCATCTCGAGCCTTCTGGGCCAGGACCTATGAAAACATTTCAGACCGTTTAAACTTTGTTTCAGACAAAAACAGAAACAAAAAAAACAAAACAATTCCATCATTTTATAAAAAGAAGAAACCAGACACAGTCTATGCAGTGATAAAAATATACAAGCTACAGCTAAATGGCAAAAAAAGCTGAAACACCAGAGACGTGTCAGAGTTCACTTGACCACATTACAGCAATTAAAACCTAGTGTTGACTACTGACTACATAATACAACACTAAAGCTTATTGGGTTAACTTTGCATTTTCCAATTCAATTCAAAAATACTTTATTCATCTTAAAGGGAAATTAAATGTTGTCGTATCTCATCATCCTGGTTTCATTCAAGAGTTGTTATAGATGCTGATAGCTGTGGGCAGGAAGGATCTCCTGCAGCGAATCCGAAGAATCTGGCCACAGATACGGATCCATCCACCCGAATCCAGCTTGCTGTCCGATCCGGCAGGTCTCTCGGCAGTCCTGGGCAGCAGGACTGCCCGAATGCCGGGCAGAATTCCTCCCTGAGCGATGGCCACTCCTCCCAGCAGTCTGCCGAGCTCCTCGTCGCTGCGGACAAACAGCTGAAGGTGTCGGGGGATGATCCCAGTCCTCCCGTTGTCACGAGCCGTGTTTCCCACCAGCTCCAGGATCTCAGCGCTCAGGTACTCGAGCACCGCCGCCAGTTTGATGGGAATTCATCCACGGCACCTCCTTTTCAACTCATCTGGTATTTGGGGCTGTAGTTGGGGTATTTGAGCTTTTGAGATGTTACTCAGCTGCTCCTGATTGTTAAAAAACACCTTGTTGCCATGGTTACGTATCATAACAAATGTCCAAAAGTGAAAAAGTTTCAATAAAAATCCTTCCAGCTGCACAACACCTGATATCAGAGTAAATAATCATCCGAAAAAGTGATTTACATCCAGAAAAAAGAGGAATTTAAGTTTTCAAAAGCAATAAATCAGAATGAATGTAACAGAGCTGCTCCACCCCGAGCGGCACAATTCTAGAACTTCTTCTAGAACTTCCAGGACTAATGAGTTTTAAAGCATTTTTAATCATAGTGGTAAAACAGTGGGGAAAAAAAAAAAGAATTGTTAAATATAATAAAGGAATTTGAACTGAAAATTTTGTGTTTATAGCTTTGAAAGCACTAAGTTAATCTGACATAATTTTGCTTTTAGTTAACTAGAACTACCAATGTTCACCTAAGTGATACTTAATACATTTGTATAGATTCTGTATCAATCCAACTTTGTTTGAGATTTTAGAGATGCAATTTCAAACATAGTATAGATCCTGAGTAAATGGCTACTGTTCAAAAATCAAAACCTCTGGTGAAATGCCATCGGGATCAGTTTAAAAAAAATTGCGATAAGAAAGAAAAATAATGTCCCGTAGCAAACGCTTATATTAATGGAAGCACTCAGACTGTGCACTGCTAAAATGAACAAAGGGAGCTGACAACACCCAGAGGGGAAGATGAGACATCTGGTGAGAAAAAACACATTACTTCAGCCAGCTTCCATGAACGCTGGCTTGATTGCAGAATGAGTGACAAGCTTTGAGAAAACGCATTATAAGAAACGAACAAAGACTGGACATGTGCATAAACCGAGAACAATACCGCAGTGCTTTGGGCATAACATAAAGACAAAAGAATATGCTAGGATTTTAAAAATAAAGAAAAAAATGCACATACTCAAATATTAATCAATCTAAAAATGTATCTTAAACAAAAGTATTAATACCAGGAGGCTGTTGTCGTCTTCTCCACCTGATCTACACACGACACACAGACGCCTCATTAGCAGCTGAACAGATTAAACCGAGGCAATATTCAACAAACTGTCATTTAAAAAAAATAATAATTTAAGAGCTGATGGAAGCAAGAAAACAAACAAGTTTTCTGAGAGCATCACTGTGGAGGTACAAAGCCTCTGATGATGCCACTCCCGACACATTGAATATCATTTTAGTGAAAACTTTGAGTACGCCTGTGCTTAATAAAATTCTGAACTGTGAATATCTTTAAGCTATGGACTACTAAAATATTTTGAATGACACATAATGAAAAACACTTCTAAAATGTGCACACTTTGCATAAACTCTTCCTGTATGCAGTTGACAACCGTTCATTCAACAGACCAGATGAAAGGTGTGTTGCACCGTATTGAAACGCTTCATAAAGAACTAAATCCATTTGACATTACAGCGGTATAAAAAAGTGAGTCTTCAGTTTGCGTTGCAGTTGATAGATACTGAATAACAGCATTTTCTCATAGGCATGGCAACTGTTCAGGAAGACCACAATCTTTAACAAACTGTAAAAGACCTCACTGCAGGTGTGAGACATGCAACTTCATTTAGAGAATTTAATCCATTTGATCAACGTGCGTAACAGTGTGAGGCTCATCAACTTGTACACGTGTAGCAGATTCTGATCTAACTGTAGTGCAAGTTAAAGAGCTGATCAGTGTTGCATTATGTTATATACTCCATCTGTGGTTAGTGACAACTTAAATGCAACCAAAAAATTAAAAGAAAGAAAAAAAAAAAACAGAAATGATTTTTTGGGGGGGATTTCCCACAAGATTTGCTTTTTTTTGTACAGTTGTGAAGCCTTTGCACTAAACAGTAAACTTGTGTTTACATACACTGGACACACCTCTTAATTAAAGTTCTTGCTGAAATGTTTGTGCAAAATGTCTTGAAGAACATCTGACAACCATTTCTACAAAATAAAATACTAGTTTAACATTTGTTTTCATGTTTTGTTGTTTTACATTCTATTTATCTGTCATCTCTACCTTTGCATTGGCTGAGATTTCCTGCACGCCTTTGCTCGCAGCATCCCTGATGATGGGAGTGATGAGGCCTTTGTCAGTCGCCACGGCAATTGAGATGTGGATTGAATCAAGTGCGTGGGGCCCATCATCAAACCAGGTAACATTCACTTCTGGCATTTCCTTTGGGGGGGAAAAAAAAAGTTGCATTCAAGCAGTTTACTTTTCAGGGACTTTATCCATTGTAAAATGCACAACACTTGCTAAATGTATTTTCTTCTTATAGTAAAAGTATACTTTACCTTTACTATAAGAAAAGAAAATACTAAGTAAAATAACTCAATAAAATACCAAAACACCAATACAGTAGTCCCTCACTACTTCAGTTTTCCACTTATAAGGGGTCTTCAGGGTACGGATCCCCCGCAATAAACGAGGGACTACTGTATTGTTCCATGCTTTGAAACTTCATATTCAAAAAGTTGGCAATGCACATGAATCTTCTACATTTGTTTTACATGAAGAACAATATTTCCTTTCAAAACACTGTTGTGGAAAAAAAAAAATCAGTAAACACGCCCTTTTAAGATGTTATTTTGTGAATTTATGATTGCGCAACCGCTTTGAATTACCAAGAAAATTATTGTTTTTAACTGTCCACGTGCTTTGAAAAGATGTAAAGGCTTAAAAGATTTGATATGTATAGGCAAACAATAAAAGGAAATATTACCAAAAAAAAAATAAAATTCAACAGATAAACACTAAAAGCCCACCTAAAATTATAGGTTTAAGAAATAAGAGGAGATTTTGCACAGTACTTACTTTAAGTGTAACAGCTGCTGCCTTGATTATGAAATCATTAACAGATACTTTGATTTGTTCTGAAAAGAAAAGAAATAATCTATGAGCCTGATTAAATCGAATAAAAATAAACAATATATTGTCTTTTTTTTTTCAACGATTAAACAGTGATTCTATAAAACCTTGTCAGAGTGGAAGTCACAAGATGACAAAAGAAACAAATGGAGCACAAATATTTAGTAAGAAATGAAAAATGCATTCTAACACAATGCAGCCTATTATTGGAAGATTTCTTAAAAACAAAGAGCATTTTAGTCTGCATATTTGCTAATCAGTGATGATAACATATAACATATGAGGGAGAAAGAAAAAGTTTTTTTAATATTGGAGCACACACTGAAATATCCAAACCAACCTTCCTCTACAAAACTCAGGCACAACAAGTTGCTTCATTTCCCCTGTCTCTGACATCAGTGAGCCAGGCTGGTTTCAACTGGCAACCGCCTGCCACCTTTTACCAGCATCCAATAGTGCAGTACCAGACAGTTATGAATGGTGCGAGTGGGATGATTAATGAGCTAACCGTGAAATCGCACTGCTCCTGAACAATGAGGGCCCACAAAAACAACCGGGCAAGAGAATCCCTTACTACACACACAGCCTCGCTAATAGGTCTGGAATGGCCGTCCCATTTCCTCCATCACAGACACATAACCCAGAGAGATTTACGGTTTGTTTGACAGGGAGAGAAATTTAGACTGAATAAAGCAAATTATGTGCTAGCATGTTGAACTAAATGTTTAAAAATGGTAAACCAACATACAGGTCAAGAATAATTTGAGTTTTTGAGTGAAAACGTTGGATGTTGGGGAACACGAACCATGTTCCCTTTTTTCTGGTTGTGTTATTAACCTCCCTTCACTTTCAACACATACATCCTGATCTCGGTTGCACAAGTCGCAGTTTGTGAAATAAACGTTAGAGATTATTGTAAAGCAGAGAAAGAGAAAAACAGGTTTAGTAAAATGCAATGCAAACACTGCTGGAACCAGCTAATACGCATTTACAATTCAAGATTTAAAGAGACACATTATATATATACTTTTATTTATTTTTTTAAATTATAGTATAGTATTTGAAAAGTTGTTAAGAATGACTCAAATTGAACATCTCATAGTCCATTTTATTTTTCTCCAAACCAGGGAGTAGAAATGTTTGCAGTTCACATGATTTTCAACAACAACATAATTTACTTTATTTATGCCCAATGGGGAAATTCATTCTCTGCATTTTTCCCCCCACCACACGTGAGCAAACATGTGGAACAGAGGGCTGCTAATAAAAGCACCCGGGAAGGGCCTTGCTCAAGGGTCTACAGTGAGGCAAATAAAGGTGGAGGCAGATGTGGATGCTTCAGGTTTCTTAAATTGCATGCGCTGCTCTGCGATATGAAACCGTGACCTTCCGACCACAGGCTCACTTCTTTTTTTGCAGGGTTGGTGCGATGGTTAAGAAAGTTACTGGAAATTTGCTTGGCAACCAAACAGAAACACAACTAGTGTTGATATGACTAACAGAAAATGCTAAATATAGAAATTCAAAAGGGATGTCCCCTCTGAGCTGGTAAGTGGAAGTAGAGCAAGGCTTGTGTGGCTGCTTATAATAAAAATTCCATTTTCAGACCATGTGTGCAACTCTTCTTACAAATGAGTTTTATTAGAAATGTGTTCTAAGCTTCTTTATTTGCCCACTGACTTCATTTACCATGCACAGTCATGACAAACTTCCTGCTGTAGATGCTGATATTAGGAGCACGTGTGTATCTGTTGTGCCTCAAAGTTCTCCATTTGTGTGTTGGTAACAAAGTTAAATAACTTACAAAAGAGAACACACACACACACACACACACACACAGAAGTCTTTGAGGGAAAACAGTCCTGTTACTTCTAAATCTTCATTGCTCCTATTTTTAAATGCACTTCAGGACAATATTATGTTGTGTCTGTCTGGTCCATATAAGCTAGCAAAATTAAAAAAAAAAAGCAAAAGCAGATTAAACAATAAAGTTCTTACTTCATTTCATTTGTTCCCCAGAAAATATCACAATCTCTGCATTACAAGGACTCAGGATGTGTCGTACAGTAATGCAAGGTTTTGAACCTATAGCTCTAACTTTAGCCACTTACAAATATTTTATATCTACTAAACAACCAGCCTTTCAGCAAGCAAATAAAAGAAAATTGGTATAACTTTTTTGAATACTTGCCTTTTAAAAAGAGACCAATTCTGGTAAAACTTTACAGAAAGATTATTGGAAGCACAAGGAGGAACTTGCAACACGTCCTCTTTAGATTTAGACTTTCTACATATCCTGATTCATGCTCCATAACCAGGTAGATAAATCCATCAACGTTAAGTCAGGTCCTCTGGACGGTTTCTTTGTGTTGAAACATTTCGTCTTTCATCCAAAAGACTTCATCAGTCCGAGGAGCCACAACAAACTCAGACTTATAAACGGCACCGTCACATAGTGGGTCAACCAGTTTTGAAGGTGCTCCGATGGTTTCTGGAGCCTGCCCTCTCCCCCGCCGACTCGTTTGAGGCAGCCATGGTCAAAGTGGTTCAAAACAGAAAAGAAACCGTCCAGAGGACCTGACTTAACTTCGTTGGATTTTTCTACCTGGATTTTTGAGCATGAATGAGGATGTTTTGAACCACTTTGGTCATGACCGTCTCAAACGAGTCGGCGGGGGAGAGGGCAGACTCCAGAAACCATCTGAGCACCATCAAACTGGTTGACCCACTATATGAAAGTGCTTTTTATAAGACTGAGTTTGTTGACATTGGACATTTCTACATATTTTCTTTTTTCCCTCCCTCTCTTTGTTTTTATGCCATCTTTAACATCACATGTCACATGTCATCCCCTAATGAGAAGAGGACTCTGTGGGGACATTTCATCTGTTGCAGCAATCATTGATGGTGTCTGTTCAATGAATATGAACATCTCAAGAGTTAAAATATTTCAATAATATCGTAGAACAGAAAATATTATATTTGCATAACAAAAAGGCCCAAAACTTTAAATGTTTTGCATGTGTTGTTTTAAACAAGAGGATTAGAACGTATATGAATTAGGATGTTAACTGAATGCAGAATGCATGAAAACCTTGAAATCATCACCTTCATGGAATCAAAGACTTTTAAATCCTGCCGTGAGACACTCAGTAAAGGTAAGGATTCTAACGTGTATGGAAGAAACTGTGCACACACACAGACTCTTGGGTGTTACCTTTGCCTAGATCTTTGCGGATCTGCATGACAGCAGCCATGTCACAGTCAATAGAAGCATACGAATGTGGGATGGTGGTCTTGGATTGGGTCAGCCTTTGTGCGATCACTAGACGGACGTTGGAGGCTGGGATCTCTGTGAAGGTTCCCTGAAGACAAGTCAAGTGAGGAGGAGAACAATTTAGTTCAGCAGGAAAACGGTGTGACAGAAAGTAACTTTCCTTACGATAATTTTGCAAAGATAACGTTTTATAATACAAATGAAAACAGCACACATAAATTAATGCTTATTTAAAACACAGATTTCATTATATAAAAAAAATAAAAAAAATAATAAGCATCCCAACAAAAAACTTTGTAAACCTGTGCTCCAGGTTTTCCTGGTACAGAAAGAGGAGGGATGTTGGGTCTGCTGCTTGGAGGTGGAGGGGGAGCTGCTGAGGTGGGGACAGCTCTCGAGACAGGAACTGGGTCTGCTGGTGCAACCATGGCTGGCACTGCTTTGGAGGCAGGAGACATCTTTAAAAGATTTAAAGCATCTCTGATGAAGACAAAAACAAACAGAAACTAATATGAGACAGACACTTGAAAAACAAAATGAGCATATTTGAATACATGCATATTTTAGGGCTCTCCTTTATTTCAATGTTATTGTTATAAACAAAATCTCCTGGTGATTAACAACAGAACAAACTTGTGCTTCACAAGAGGCTGAAAAGAAGCTGCCAGTTACTTTTATCAGGTTTTGTTTGCCTTATGCTACCAGAAAAGTTACATTAGGTCATCTGCAAGTAAATGGGTGTCATGAGAATCACATGATGCTCATAAGCAAACTAACAGGTGCAGCAGAATCAGGCGTCAGCCTCACCAAGAGACTAGTTTATTAAAAACATCAGTTCTATTATCCCTCCTACAGGTACTGTGAGCCATAGACATGTCTCCAGAAGGAATAAGATGCTACCGCCAAGTATAGCACTGCATTATTTGTAACAATCCATGTAGATTTTCCTTGTTAAAACAATTCATCACATTAAATAATAATGGTAATAATAACATAATTACCGACTACTACTGCAAATTTGTGAAACTATTAGATTTGAAATTAATATATCACATATTAAAGATTGTTTCATATGGGAACATGCTCTTAGCCAGACAACGGTCTAAAGAATCTGTAAACAAAACCTTAAGCAGACAACAGATAAAGCAAATGACCATGAGACACGAAGCCCTGAAAGAAGCAGAAAAAAAAAGAGAATGAAAAAAAAAAGAATAAAAACCCAAACCCAGCTGCATTTTAGATTTATTGTTTTCCCCTTACGTTTTAGGTCGAGTACCATGAGAGCAGGCAGGAGCAAGTACCAGGTGCTTGAAGCTCTCTGGTTCCAGCTCACTGCACTCTGGTGCACCTACCCATATGCACACAGTCTTTTGTTTGGACCCACTGCTTCTGACCGTGCCCTGCAGCTAGAAACAGTCTAGGGCCCCACATCTCAGTTCTCCAACTACACAAGCTCCTTTTCTCTTTTATGATTAAAATATGTTAGTAAAGCACCCGACACCACTTGGAAAGTCCCTAGCTAACCAGCAAATCTTTCATTACAGACCAAATCCAAAAGTTCAGGAAGATCACATATATAAATATATATAGTGAAATAAATGCAAATCAACAGAGTTGATAATGGCACCACTGATCTCTTTTGTGCAGCTGCTTTAGCTGCACCCCTACTGACAGTGAAGGCAAAGGAGCTTCTGTAAGAGTAGAAGGTGACTAGAATATTAAAAAGGGTCTAAGGCAGCACTCACAAGCAGAAATTCAAAAACTGAATAGGTACTGTGAACTTTTATCTGTCTTCTACTGCCACTAAGAACAAGTTAAGATGACAAAAGGGAATTCAACAAATGGAAATTACATGTTAAAAAATGCTTTCTGTGCATTCTTATTGTTGATTTTATTTTAAACACGGCACTATTTGCTTTGGATTTGAAAAAAAAAAAAAAAGTCTGGCTGTGAAAGTATTATTGTGTGCCGCTCTTAACTTAAATTCTGAAATGATACTTCATCCAAAATATATTTCACCGTAATAACGTCTAATTTTACTGCTACCATATTTTTCAGCATATAAATCGCACCGTTTTGCATACATTGGCAAGTCCTGCGACTTATACACCGAAGCCACTAATATAATTTTTCTCCATATTTATTACCTACTTTTTTTTTCTGAGATCTGATAATTTAATTCATTCTGGCATGAAAAATATTGAACACTACCATTTTCAGCCGCTAGATGGCTCTCGAGTAATATGGCAAGTCAAGGGTTTCATTAATAGGCAAAAGTGACTTAATGAGACACTTGGCTTGCCATACAGAGCCATCTTCCTCTCGCTCCGGAACTCCTGCAGCAAACATAAAATCAGCTACATTTTGCCACGCCACCCAGGCAAAATGCAGCTGATTTGACCTTTAAAGTGCATTTTTAAGGAAAAGTTCAACTGAGACACACTTTTGCGATAATGTCGAGCAAACAAATAATTGTTTTTAGGTGGTTATCTTAGTAAATTTTGATGAAATGCACAGCGAGTCCTCCTTCTGCGCGCCCCCGCAGCTGGAAATCTATTTTTGAAATGCAGCTGATTTGACCAATATAGGACATTTATTAAGGAAAAGTTCAACTGAGAAACACCTTTGCTATAATTTCGAGCAAACTAATAATTGTTTGTTAAATTCTTGTTAAAGTCCTTCTGTGCACACTCCCGCGGCCGCCATTTGGCAGCCAATAGATTTTTGGCATAACACTGGCCCACGTGGTTGTCAGCGGTGATGCATAATAGATGTGACTTATATGGCGAAGCGACTTATTTATGTTTTTTTTCCACTTTATTAGACATATTTGGACTGATGCGACTTATACGGTTGTGCGACGTGTACAGCTGCAAGTACGGAAATTAAATATGTAATCAAATGATGTACACTTGCTACTTTTTGGAAACATTGCACCACTGATATTTAGCTAACCCACTAAATCATAAAGACTTAAATACCAGTAGTTATTCTAAGAACATAAATTATTAGTTCAATATGAAGACTGAAAAGAAAGAATCCAAATCTCAGCTAGACTGAGAACTTTTGGGAGGTGCTGGAGAAGATCTTATGCAACAGTCCAACTCTTTCCTTGTCAGAACAAAATCCTGGTGAAAAATAATAGCCGTTCTACACACGTGACATTCAATAACCTTATCAGAACAATTCCATGGGGAATGTGTAGCAGAATAAAAGCCAAAGTTGGTTCAAGAAAAATAAATAATTAGTGACTTAAAGTGACTCCGTATCAGAAGTCCCTTTAAGAAGAACTACTAAAATATCTTCACAATGTTTGATTTATAAAAAAAACTTTACACAGACCTGTCATTTACTAAGACACAAGAGCATATGGTCTGTGTTACCATGGTCACCAGTGGGTCCTAGAGACTGGGTTGCTATGGAAACAGAAGTTCCTAATGAGATTCCCCAGCAGGCTGCTCGGTGAGTATCATAGAGCATTCAATCAAGCCCCAAGTGACAGCAGGTAGCTATTAAAGTTGTGCGCGTGTTCAAAGCTTTCTCTTGTGTGAACTCAGCTCCCATCTAAATGACTAAAACACTGAGACTCTCAGAACATGTTCCTTGTTTGTTATCGAGTCTTTCCCACATTTTTGTTAATGCTGCCCTCAGACGCTCCAGTACTACTGGCAGTGTTGCTGTGGTCGATTACAGGAACAAGAACTGAGTTAGCTCGTTTACAGCGAACACCTCGTGAAGGATTTCCTACATACAAACAAAGATACATAAATACATAAAATTGAAACCAAAATCAAAAGACAAATAATATTTTAAACTCGTTATTGTTCATTTTAAGTGGGTAATTTTAGAAACTGCTCTGAGAAGGCTCTAAAAACGTTTAGAACAACTTTCAAGTGGAGTATACTACAACGTTTTCAGAAAATGCACCACAAGAATTCAAGGAAACATCTGAGGTGAAATTAGATAAAAACTCACTCCTTAGTAACAAGTCCCCTTGGCCCAGTGGGTGTGGCCAGTTTGGGGTCAACACCATGAGTATCCAGAATGTGTCTGGCTGCTGGACTTAGACGTAACCTGGGTAAAGAAGAGCATATTGCACATTTAAAAGATCAGCGGTCAGCATTGTACAAGTTTTTAAAACTAAGTCTAAATTTAAACAATTTGTCTAAAGATGCATTTAGAAACCCTTGTAAATAAAACAGCTCAGTGTATCCACCACCAAAGATCTCAGTAGATAATGTCTCAGTCATTCTGCTAACATTTTGAAATGAACTTAAAACAACTCACAGATAAAGTAAAGAACCATCTCTGTTGTGGAGTTCATTCTATTTTTTTTCTGACTATGGGCTATAGGTGCTGTGACCATAACAACATCTAATTAACCCAACAATTTTCAGTCAGGTCATCTGGACGGTTTCTTTTTTTTTTTTTTTTTTACGAGATGTTTCGCCTTCCATCCAGAAGGCTTCATCAGTCTGAGGAAACACCAAACAAAACTGCTTCTCCCCCAACAGCTTACTCCAAAGTGGGGAAAATAAAAATAATAGTCCAGATGACCTGACTGAAAATATATGGATTTTATACCTGGATTATTGAGAATGGACTTTGGTGAACATCTAATTAATATCACGTCTTATTGAAACCACTGTAATCTCACTGAATTACACTGTAAATCTGACAGGTATTATTCAAACAGCTAAAAAGTGACACTCACGGTCCTGACTTTGGTTTTGGTGGAAGACTTGTTGAAGGAGCAGAGGAAGTCAATACTGAGGGAGAGCCTGCAGGTGAGACTGCTCCAGCATCTGGAGGGGGTATCTCAATCTGCTTCCAGTCCTGCCCTTCCTCCACCATGAGAGCGATGAGAGTGCCGAGGCGCACATTGCTGCTGCCCTCTTCCATCTGTAAGGAGAGCAAACAAGACACTTAACAAGGAAACATCTGATTCAAAAACATGCATGTTAGGCTGATTGGCAACTCTAAATTGTCCCTAGGTATGGGTGAGAGACTGAATGGTTGTTTGTCTCTGTGTGTCCCTGTGATGGACTTGCGACCCGTCCAGGGTGTACCCCGCTCCTCGCCCACTGATTGCTAGACATGGGCACCGGCGACCCCCGTGACCCAAAATGGAAGAAGCAGGTAAAAGATAATGGATGGATGGATGGACATCTGATTCAGGGGCATCACAAGTGTAACTATGTGTTAAAATGGGTTCAATTTTTAACACGTTACAAAAAACAAAGAGAAGGTAACACTAAATTTAAATAAGACATTTATAACTTATAAAGTTGTGGCTGCGGTAGCTTGGTGGTCTGTGCCACAGTCTTGTAATCCTGAGGCTTAAGAGCAGGTTGCATCAAGTGTAAAGCAATTGCCAAATTTCTCATGCGAGTTCTCCAATGGCAGCGACCCCTGCAGAAGGGAGCAGCCGAAAGCAAAACAACAGCAGCAGCACTTAAAAATGATGAATCTGCTGGTCATCATCGAGTTTAATACTGTTTTTCTAAAGCTCAGCTGCACTTGAACGAGCTCTTGGTGTGTGCCGCGTGTGCTATTCTTCTCTCAGTTTTTGATTCTCTATCTTACAATGCAAGCCATTCAATAATGTTGTTCCACAAATACAGATCAATTTAATTGAAAGGTTGGGCACAACACAGTGTCGGACACGTGTGTTTGTCACTTTTCATTAGGCAGCCTCTTGGAACACGGTAAAAAGACAGATAACGAGAAGAAACCACCTCTGTATCAAGCTATGCTTATGACACCATGAAATACTACACTTAAAAAATAAATATATATATATCTCCATCACATCTGACAAGTCACTTCCCCGTCATGCAGGGTTGTAAAGTTACAAAGAGAACTCAAATAACTTTATCTATCAAACTGGAAAGGTCATCGTAGTGTGAACACCTGAGCCTCGTATCTGTGGTACTTCAGTTCAGAGTGGACCGGACTGTCTGCAAACAAGTTATAAAAATAAACAATGTCAAACTATAATTACATTTATTTAATATTAGAGTCAACAAGTATTCCTGCTGGGCAAAATGTTGTTGATTTATTCTATAATTTCAAAGTAATTTTAAAACCGTTTAAGATGAACTTTTGATACTAACTGGACTTTGCTGCTTAAAAGAACAGGTGAAGAATTTAAACTTAATACATTAAAGCATGCTGTTCATGCTGCTGTTTGGCGTATTGCTTTTGTACTACTAGTGCTTAGTGTATTTTTAGTTAACATAGTTCATATCTTAGATATTAGTACCGTTTTTCTTTTACATTTTATACTTTTGTTGGATGTAACTGGGACCCTGTGTACACAATTTTGTTCCACCTCATGCACCACATGTGATGCAAATGACAATAAAGAACCTTGAATCCTTTCTTTATATAAAAAAGACCAACATAAATATACACTGTTCAACACATTTTATTGATAAAACCTTATCAGTTTTAAACAACGTATATCATTGGCTCTGTTAGCATTTCCTCTTCAAACTGATAAAAGCTTATCAGTGGATATGCACGTGGCTACGCTGCAGAGATGCTGGGCTCAACACTGCCATCAAACAGTTAAAGAAAACATTAAAACTTTGGGGAAGTGCTAATTATATTACCCCACTGTAATCATGGTCAAAACTATCCAACAGTATACACTTTTACCCACAAAAGTGCTGCTGTCGGACAAGAAACTGGACGTGTAAATTGTTTACCTTCACTGACGGCCCAGTTAATGACACTATTTGATCTACACAGCAACAGTATGTGTTGACTGGTCATGTAAAATTTGGTACCAAGCAATGTTTGATTTTTGTTGCACCATAAGACGTTCATATTTGTAAGACACATCAGATGTATAAGACTCTGAGGATCTTTCTAAAGCACTCTGCAAGGGTTAGGATATTCCAAAGTACATTAATTGTGAGGTTTCCCTAACGTCTTACCATACTGTTTTTAGACAGATTAACAAGTCCAATGGGAGCTACAACAGATTCACCAAGTTTAGTTCAGACATGTTAAGTTCCTTTTATCTGTCAAGTACAACATCTCTACTGATTCATATTCACTAAAAAAGCGATCATGGTTGCTAATCGACTGATTCATGGGACGTCAACGTGCTCAGAATGTGGCAGAAAACGCAGACGGAGCTGACAGAACAGAGTCTCAACAGCTCTTTTTTAAGAGGAAGATGGATTTGAACTTGGCGTGCTCATAAATACTAGAGAGAAACATGAGAGACAGTGTTTAGCAAGTGAGACGGGGTTTGGCTCTGATCAATAAAGCATGACAGATGTTGCAGAAACAGCACTGCAGCTCCCTGCCTATTCCTGGTAGCAATGAAGTTTAATGTAATCTCTCACATTAAATGTCAAAGCCACACCAAACAAACCGTAGCTCACATGGAAATTCATTCTTTGTGGGCAACCATCGGAGTCTTTTGTTCTTTTCGTTGAAATGTTTTCTATTTCTTTTCTTTGGGCCAAAGGCTTAAAGCTATACACTCCATGCTTTTTGGCCAAATAGCCTAAAACAATAAAATAAAACTTAAAAATAGATGTATGCGATCATTACATTTTGACATAGGCATTTGAGGTTTACGCTCATTACCTGGATGACAGTATGTTAAGTTAACGAGCCAGGGCGTGAATATGTGGGAAAATGACAGGTTAGTGCTGCAAAAGCTGTTAAACATTCTCATCAGACCATCTAATCATTATGCAGTACTGCTTGTCTGACAGCTTTTAATTGAGTACTATCCAATATTCTTCATTAAACGTCTGGAACAACTTAGTAATAAATGTGAAAAACCCAAGAGACCAACTTGAATCTATACATTATAAGTACGCCCCTCTATCACGTCTACGACTGATGGCACTCTTGGCAGATGTTCAGTTTAAAGGCTTTGGATCAGGAGAGAGTAGACTAGCCACTAAGGACGGAACAGGAATCAGTCATCACTCAGTTAGAGCAAGATCTACCAGTTTTCTTACAACCGAAGAAAACGTCTGAAACCATAAGAAAGTGCTCGACTCCCATTTAAAAAAATAAATAAAATCTCCCTTTGGAGGACGTCTTCTGCAGCTTGTCAAGGAATTTGGCCATGGGCAAGTAATTATGGTAGCCTCTAAATTAGAAACTGCCTAGTGCTCAAAAGAAACAAGACAGCGCCACAAAAAACTATAATGTGCTCTGATCCAAAGTGTAGGGAAATATTAACTAACAGTTTGTGAAATTATGCCAATATCTGTTGGTTTTCCTATTGTTAATACACACATTCTGTTTCACAACAGGACATGGAGAGCTTGTGGCTTATCTAATGCAAACCATTTTTCCTTGCCAGCTAAAGCCCCTACCCGGTGTTCTTGGGTGGTTGCTATGGAAACTACCTTATCCCCACAGCAGATGAGCGAAGGATGGTGTAAGAACATGCAAAAGAATGGAATCTAGTGAAGTGAAGGGCATGAAAAAGATTTACAGTTCAACTGTTTATTACTGAGCATTGAACACACAGGTAATTGACAATGCACGGTACCTAAGTGTGCATTTGTGATGCGAGTTTGCTGGTGCAGAGTGGACATATATTTTGTAATGAAGCCCTGATCCACTTGCACAAACGGCTCTAAAACACCAAGGACAGAAAACATATTGCATGATTAGATAAGGTACTTTGTGAAATGGAGCAGTGGTTTACAATGCTGTGCATCTATTGTAAATGATCAAAAAAAAAAAAAAAACCTTTACATTCTTACTCAGTTTTAAACAGGGATAACTAGCAAAGTAATTAAATTTGTTAAGCCTACAAGAAAATAATATACTCTTTTTTTGTCTGACAGTAATGAGAGTACTTAGTCAAAATGGAGAAGAAAAATCTTCATTCCTCAGTTCAGGGCGACAAACAAGAGGCAGAGTGCTGATGAATGACAACCGATCGCTCGGTCTTTGACAGCCTATTAAAAATTCAAACAACAAAACACAATGTGGGGATAGAGGGAAATATTTGTCAGCGATGATGCCTTGTCAGGGCTTTGCTGCATCTGTGTACGGAGCACAGATTCAACAAGCGTAGCCAATTAGTATGAAGAACAATGGAAATCAAACAGAAATCACAAGGACAATATCCTACGTGGATATGAACAAACTTTAAATCTATAACAACAACAACAACAACAACAACAACAACAACAACAACAACAACAA